TAAATTCTAAGTCGAAAAAGGGGCATAATTCTGTCAAAATGCTTGATAGAGTTACCTCCTCCTGTCTACAGGTTGGGGTCATGATGGTGAACAAGTGTGCAAAGTTTCAAAGCCATATGTCAATGGACTTTGAAAATATTTGAACTATTACAAAAAACTTTAACGTAAATTCTAAGTCGAAAAAGGGGCATAATTCTGTCAAAATGCTTGATAGAGTTACCTCCTCCTGTCTACAGGTTGGGGTCATGATTGTGAACAAGTGTGCAAAGTTTCAAAGCCATATGTCAATGGACTTTGAAAATATTTGAACTATTACAAAAACTTTAACATAAGTGGTTACGCCGACGCCGACGCTCGGGTGACTGCAATAGCTCTACTTATTCTTATCGAATAGTCGAGCTAAAAAGGGGCATAATTCTGTCAAAATGCTTGATAGAGTTACCTCCTCCTGTCTACAGGTTGGGGTCATGATGGTGAACAAGTGTGCAAAGTTTCAAAGCCATATGTCAATGGACTTTGAAAATATTTGAACTATTACAAAAACTTTAACATAAGTGGTTACGCCGACGCCGATGCTCCGGTGACTACAATAGCTCTACTTATTCTTATCGAATAGTCGAGCTAAAAAGAATGTTGACCAAAACAGGCACAACATAATATTATTGTCTCGGAAAATAACTTGCTTACACATCGAGGAATTCTAACCAGACACCTACTGTTGGCTGTTTAACTTATGCTTTCTGGAGTCTCTGAAAAAACTGCTAATGTGCTAGTAAAAAAAAAAAATATGGTATAGACTTTATGTAACTATATATTAACATGATTACAAAAATGTCTTTGTGAAAAACAAATGGAGAGCACAAAACAAGGGGAACAACTCCCTTACATATGTGAACTACAACTAAATGTTCAAAGGTTACTGAACAGTTCAACACTTATAATTTAGTGGCGATGGACCACTGGAAAAGCCATTTTACAAAATTTAGCATGATAAGGAGTTAAAACCTTCCCTGCAAAGTTTACCTTCCTATATAAAGGCAACTTCAGAGTCTGCAGTTTTTATCTATTTTTGTCAGCTAAGAAGTATTTTTGCGAGTAACTATTTACCATCCCTTCATATCTTATCTTTACATTCCGGCACATCAGTCTTGTCGGGACCGAACATATTTATTTCTATATTTTGTTGTTGTATTACCTGACTTACTCGTCTGGATGAATATTCCTGACAAGTGTCTGATGTTTATATCAGAAGTCTTAAATACGAACCACTTTATTTGAACAAGATATCCTAGTCTGTATAAATGTTTTGTCAGTCAAGCCATACAAGTGCGTCATTACTAGTCATAACTCGATATTGACCCATCGGTCAGTGGTCGTTCTGGAACAATCCTGTCAATTCTCAAGGACTAGCCTCTTACTTCTTAATCAATATATCTGGGATAAATGTGTTAATGCCTTTGTCAATATGATATAACAACAGTGCATTTAACATGAGCAAAAACAACACCGGTAATTAAAACAAGTCATGAATAAAGAAACAATTGTTTTTTCTTACTTTTCATACAGCAGCAAGCAGAAAACCAGTCATGTTACACATTTTTTTTTGCACTTATCTACAACTAAACAGAACAGTGTTAACACTGTCTTTCATATTAAACCTTAATCTCCTAGAACTGAAACTGATTTCCCTTTGCTACCAGTATAGAGCCAGGCCTGCGAGCACATCAATGCAGTCTGACCAGGCTCTATACTGTTTGTTAATCAATTTTATACCTTTAACTTTGAATGGACTGTTCCAAATTCAAAGCAGGGAGAATGCATTTAAGGTCACATTTGTATTAGGGACTTGTTTTATTTGAATTACTGTGAATTCACTTAATTTAGTGGGCATGAAATTTCCTGGTTTTCTCACAAAGAACATTTTCATGGGTTCTTAAATTTGTGGACTGTCTATTTTTCCAAAAGGTTACCAAGTAAATGTAAATAATGTGATGCAAAATAATCTTACAGCAGACAAAATTTTGAATTTGTGGATTGACCTATCCACAAAAACCAGGAAAATTAAAGCCCCACAAATATTATTGATGTTGCAATACGAACCATTTAACTGTTTTGCTATATGAAGGGCTTGACTCATTTAGAGCAACCAGTCAGGCTGGTGTCATAGGCACGTCTTTATCACTGTTATCATTCAATGAGTTAATGCAAGATCACTGCAACCATTATGCAGCATGCAGGACATACATGCATGATTCTAAGGTAGAATGTTCCAAGAACAGGTTTATTTAGACACCAACATAGTGTTTCTGACCTATTTTGATGACCTTGTGAAACATAATGTCTAGATTTTTAATTTTTTTTTTAATTTTTTTTTTTTTCGTTCTTTTTCAATTTTGCTTGTGTACTGCTAAAAAAGTTCATCTCTAGAAATAAGAGGTAACCTCTGTGAGTTCAAAGCTAAAATTTCCTGTGGTTCAGTTGTTATGTTAATTAACATTAACTACATGTTAATATACATATAAATAATATAATCTACAACTGTTTACAAACAGGAATAACTTTGCCAAAGTACAACCACTACTAACAAATACCTGTTTAATTAGCCTGGTATGCTATTAAAAAAATCAACACATGCTTACAACAGCTATCAGTGCCTGACATAATAGTGTAAAAGCGGTGTTTACTTTTCTGTGAAGCTTAATGGAACTGGCATGGAGTTCCAAATCTTTTGTTAAATATCTGCTACTAAAGTACATGTACGCGCATCATTAACAGTTACTTGAAAGGTCAAAAATCTTAAGAATTAATTTCTTCAATTTAGTATCAGTACTTCTCAAAAGGGGAGTGGTGGCCTATTGGTTAAGGTTTCAGCTTCTTAACCCAGGGATCATGGATTTGAGCCCTAATCTGGTCACAAACATGTTTCTTTGTATGACACCAGGACTGGTTGGTTCACGGAAGTTGACTCAAAAGTGATTAATGTAAGTTGCAAGAACTTGTATCGCAATCAAGCTTAAATAAATATCTTTAAACCAAACACAGAGACTTTTGTTACAATGCCATTCCTTTAAGTACTTTTGGAGATACCAACTTGCACACAAAAACTTTAACCAAAGTGTGATGCGGACGCTGAAGCCTGGGTGAGTACAATAGCTCTCCTAATTCTTCGAACAGTCAAACTGAAAATAGATCTGAAATCAATCTTGCTATAGCTAATTCCCTTTTATCAATGATTGATTTAAGATTTACTTGAAAAATTGACCTTGTCCTCATGAATACAAATCTGGTTTCCTCAAATACTGCATTAAAGTGTTCTAACAAGAAAAGCATTGATGCAAAGCATCAAAGGGCGTCCAAGCAAGAAATGCAGCAAGTGAAGATGAACTAGTACACATATGATGACAAGATATTCTTATAAACTACCAGAAATGTATACCACTTATGAATGAGCGGACGAAAGACATTGTTCATTATGAACTTTGATTGGCATGCTAGAGATTAGAATATTACTTGTTATTTCTTTATGATCGTGGTTATTAATAGCAACGGATATACATGTATGCAATCATTTATAATCCATATGTGTAACGCATGATCAACACGTACCACACATTTGTCCCTTATTATGTACATGTTATCGCTATTAGCGAAGACCCCCTTAAGGTATCTGTTCACACTTTAAGTTATTAAAAATATGACACTGGTTATATTACCATGGTTGATCATGTTGAGCATAATTGTTTATTATACAATAATTGTAATATCTATTAATTTTAATTTAAAAAAAATACAAATTTTATGAATATTGTTTTCTTTTATTCTTTTTTGTGTTTATGTGCTATTTTAATACTGAGTTTTTACTACTCTTTTTTATTAAAATTGTAAAATAAATTTTAAGAATTCAATTGTCATATTGACCGACGATTATAAGTCAAAGCTTAACTGGAAAAAGTCAGTAAATTATGGTTTATCTTTCAATATATAATATTGTTTATTCTTAAACCATGTACATGTACATTGTATTTTTCTTTATCATTTTTTAAATTATCGATCAATTGAATAATTCATAAAATCTAATTTGTAACTTTGAATAATTCCTCGGCATCTTTACTAAACACGGATAACAAATTGAATAATTAAATAAAATGTTTCAAAGTTGATAATGTCATTTTAATACCATAAAAAATGTACCTTTTTCTCAATTATTGTACATATCACGGATTTATATTACATATAAATCCGTGTACATATTTATTGTTTTTATCTCATATAGATAAAATGAAACATGCTATTGTTGTTTTTTCTAATTATAACGATATCAAACATCTACTCCAAAACCGGGAGAGACCGGACAATATAACGTGTGGTACTATTCGCCGGTCACTAGTAAATCCTGGTCAAAATAGACCGGGAGAGACCGGCATTTACCGATAGGAGTGATAAAAAGATATATCTATAAATAGGTTTTTGGAATATTTAGGTCATCAACTGATCATTCTAGGATACATGTACAACAATAACATACCATGACATGATAACCGACTGTGTACTACAAAATGATAAATAAAAAACCCCGAAGAGCGCGATTTATTGAAGGAAAAGGTTATTTCATTTGTAAATGTTTGCATTGCGAAAATTCATTGTAACATATCGCGACATTTCATTCTTATTTAATAATCAAGCACCCTCATACCGATTGGAATTTTCGGCTTTTATTATGACCGACTAAAAGGCTCGAGAAGTTGCTGTCGCCCTTTCACAAAATCTGATCTCATTCCATAAGAGCGCCGCGCTTCGGCGCGGACGCCAACAAATAAAGGGACTGAATCCATACTCTTGCAATATCATGGTCTTTGTACTTACTTCCCTTTAAACTCTTTAATACTAATATACTGAGAGGAAATTTCGGTCAGTGGTTACTTCCCTTACCTTCAAACTGTTGGACAGTGGTTAATTTCCCTTACCTTCAAACTGTTGGGACAGTGGTTAATTTCACTTACCTGTCTGTTTATTGTTCAATGACTGTAAATTTTGTGGCATATGTCTGAGGGCTAGAGCTTGTAGATGACTTTCCATGTTTTGTGCATACCTAGAAGTAATATGTCAAATTTATAGAAAAACTCTAATTTCAATTCAAAATTGTGAATCAACAAACTAATCCTGAACCTTCTGGAACCAAAATTTATCAAATTTTTACCACCAGTATAGAGCCAGGCCGACCAGCAAGTTTGTGCAGTATGACCAAGCTTTATACTGTTAGTAGTTAGCTATTTTTTGTATTTTAGTACTGAAAACCTTTTAAAATTCAAATGGACTGTTCCAAAGTTCAAGTAGGGCAAAAACCTCAGTGAAGTCCCTTTAAAATGCATCTGAACTTAATCAAACATTATCCTTTTCACTGCAATGTTTTATATTTCAAAATTATAACAGAGTAAATGTGTCTGAACTATATCAGGAATTAACTTGTCCACTGCCAAGTTTATACTGTATATTGCAAAAAAAATCTGAGGTTACAGGGTATAATTCAAAACAAATATAAGAAAGAACACAAAACATAAGATATGTTTCTTGATGAAGAAAAAAACAAATTTAGACATTAAATGATTTATAACACTATATTAATTAAAAGAAAAGCATTGGAAACACCTCAATCCCCCAAACAATTTTCAATAAGACTTTTCATATAACAAACAGGTATACCCTTTTTGTAGGCAGTGAAAAGGATAATTTCCATAAATAAAACATACTCCCTAGCAAAATTAAGCTCCTCGTCCGAAAGTTTTGTTGCATCCTCTTTCTTTAAGGTTTCTTCTGCCTCATCTAAGATATGGTTTGTATATCGTTCAATCTGGAAGGAAAACATTACTTCAATATCAATGATGATAAATAAATAAAATGAAACTCCTTTATAGTGTATATCATTTCATTTATATTCATTCCACTTTTAATACAAGTATGTTGTGTTAAGTTAAAATATTATGTGTGATTATGTTTAGTTTATAAAAATAGTCATACACACTTGCAATACCTTAAATCAGCTTAAAAAGTTTTTTTCCAGGGACATAATTCTGATAATATGAAGGATAGAGTTACAGGAAATGCATGTGTCAAATTTTACACAACTTACACTAAGATAATAAGATATAGACTAGTCACTTTGCAGAACATGTAAAAACAGAACATGTAGTTCAAACAACTGCTAGGACCGAAACCAAGACAATTAGAAGGCCCTACATTATCCTCTAAATTGAGGAGCTAAAATAACAAAATTTATCCACATAGCTAACAGTTTTACTATAATTATAACACTAAGGTGATATCTTACCTTTTGTAATCTACACCTTAAATAACTACTTAGGATATATCTTATACGATCAATCTGGAAAAAAAAAAGAATCAATTACATCAAGAGATAATATTGATCTAAGCAGTGTATATCAACTTTCTAACATCGATTTTGATGCATAAATTTTTTTTTTTTTAAATGACAGCAAAAATACATGAAAACTATCTAAAATTTCAAAATTACACGACAGCAAAAGTACTAGTAAGTAAGTAAAGTCTTTATTTACTGAGGCTACACATTTGGTTTCCCAATCTTCCATGTGGGCCTCAAAAACATAAATATACATAAAATATACATAATTTACATCATGGTTATACAGTGAAGTTTTCAAAATACATAAACACATGAAAACACAAAATATAATAATATATTAATTTACTTTATAAAACAATAAATAATTAAAAACACAATACATATTCAAAATACATATACAATGCATGAACATACATTACTTTACACTAAATCTATGTGTAAGATCAAGGTACTTAAGAGAGATTCCAACTGATATAGGACGCTTGGAATTTTCCAACAGTTTCAGATTTATGAATGGAGAGAGGGATATTATTCCATAGTTTGGGGCCGGAGTAAGTAAAGAGATTTTCTAAAAATTTCTTTTTTTTGGTTTAGGTATAAATAAATCTGAATTTTTTGCTGACCTAAGGTTACGTTCATATTTTTGGTGAATAAATTGAAATTTGTTTTTCATGTACTTTGGAAATGAAGCATTGTTTAATGATTTATACATAATGACAGCTTTCTTGTATCTTATTCTTTCATCAAATTTTATCCAATTTAATTCATTAAATAATTCAGTAGATGGGGCATCATAACTTTTGTCAAGAATGATTCTTGCAGCTCTTTTCTGAAATTTTATTATATCCACAATCTGTTCATTGCTACAGTTTCCCCAGACTGTACAACAATAATCTAAATGTGGTAAGATATAAGCATTAAAGAACAGTTTTCTTGTATTTACATCAAGGTATTGTTTAATTCGGAGAAGAAAGTACAACTGTGTATTGCATTTCTTTAACATCTTTATTGTCAATATGAACACCTAATAATTTTTCAGTTTCAGTAAATTCAATTTCATGTTCTTGCAGGTGTAGTGGTTGTAATTGTTGTTTATTTTTATTGGATGACAGGTTCATTGCTTTTGCTTTTTTTGCGTTTAGCATCATTGCATTCTCTTTGCACCACAGATTTACATTGTCAAGGTCAACTTGGAGTTTATCATGTAAATCTTGTATAGAGAGACCTGCTGCTGTAAGAGTAGTGTCATCAGCAAAAAGATCTGCCTCTGAGGTTTTCAAATGGAGTGGTAGATCATTTATATATGAGCCGTGTCATGACAAAACCGACATAATGGGTTTGCGACCAGCATGGATCCAGACCAGCCTGCGCATCCGCGCAGTCTGATCAGGATCCATGCTGTTCGCTTACAAACCCTGTTACAAGTAGAGAAACTGATAGCGAACAGCATGGATCCTGATCAGGCTGGTCTGGATCCATGCTGGTCGCAAAACCACTATGTTGGTTTTGTCATGACACGGCTCATATGATGAAAAGCAAAGGTCCGAGCAGATTAATATCTAAATTTTCAAAATCACAGTTCTTAGCCCAACTTGCTTGTAAATTAAAATACTAACTTTTACAACTTTAATAAAATGTGTGTTGATTTTTTTACAAAGATGGCATACTTTTGGCAAGATTGAAAAATGGACAAGTTCTTTTAAGATATTTGTCTTATTTGATGAGAAAATGGTTAAATTTTTAAAGATGGCATACTTTTGGCAAGATTGAAAAATGGACAAGTTCTTTTAAGATATTTGTCTTATTTGAAGAGAAAATGGTTAAATTTTATATGGATTTACCTCCATACTATGTAGACTGACTTTAAAGTCACCTTTCTTAGCTCGTCTAATGTTATCTTCCATCTGCGTAATCTGTTCAAGCATACATTCTACTAAATCTGATCTAGTTTCCAGTAATTCTGGAGCAAATTTTTCGTTCAGCCATGCCTACAAAAAAAAGGAAATTCTGGATGAAGCATTCTATTGTAATCATCTTTTATTATTTTTTTAATAAGGAATGACGTTCTGAACAAAAATAGTTTCATTAGATCTACTTTTGTTTGTTTTTACAAAACCAAACTTTTAAGGTTCTAGAAAAATTAAAGAATTACATGAAATGTTTGGTAAAAAAAAAGTTTTACTATTTGAGCATGTACCCTGCTACTAACAAATTTTAAGCCTGCATGTAGAATTTTGTTTCTGAATCATGCACTATTGTGCGTAAATAAGCATACTAACTAGCCTAAGTCAGTAATACAGTAATACTAAGCTAGCCTTGATAAATGCATAATTCAGAGTTTTTGTGTTGAAAGATTATTAAAATCAATCAATATCTGAATCTTTTATCCAAACCAAACATATAAAAAAAAAAAAATATTTTGAACCTTTATTAAAAATAATATTATAGTTATATAAAGCGGTACAAGTCAACCCGGCCTCAAGTGAAACCGGCCACAAATTAGTCAATCCGGCTCCAAGTCAATCTGATATCTGGTCAACCCTGCCCTATTTTTATTATTAGTTATTTGCCACCAATTTTGGGACCGGGTTGACTTGAGGCCGGGTTGACTCATATTAATTCATATAAAGCGTTTATTTATGTTGATCACGTTGGAAAACACATTTCGTCAAATGCAGATTCATAAATTATACACTATAAGAATCTGTCCGCAGCAAAATCCATGTTTTAAATCCTAACCCATAACCTTCTAACTCTAATCTATATAACACTAACCATAATAATATGAGTGATTTTGTTGATAAACAGAATATTGAAGAAATATATTAGGTAAAATCATGTTAACAAAAGCCATGTCAACATGGCCATCCCCCGCCGAATGTGTTTGCTCATTGGAAGAATGTATATGTAGTAGAGCAGAATAATTCCATTTCAAGAGTTCTTTTGGTAATGAAAACTGATGGCTGAAGTGATTACAGATTTCAAACCTATGTGAATACTGATGGCTGAAAATAACAAAGGGCAATAACTGAAAAATAATGCAGGGTAGGTTATCATTCTTGTGTGCTGCACCCCTCCTCAGTAAAATCTATCCACCTATAAAGTTTCAAGTTGATACCTCAAATACTTTTTGAGATAAGCTCTGGACAAAATAGTATGAAAAAGAACAAAGGGCAATAACTCCAAAATTGTATAGGGAAGAGTTATCATTCTTGCGCACAGCATTCCTTCTCAATAAGATCTATCCACCTATGACATTTCATGTTGACATCTCAAACACTTTTGAGTTATGCTCCACTCGGGTGAAAATTTACTTATGAAAATAACAAAGGGCAATAACTCAAAAATTATGAAAGATGGGGTTATCATTCTTGTGCACTGCACACCTCCTGAGTGAGATATATGCACATATGAAGTTTCATGTTGATATCTCAAAGGCATTTTGAGTTATGCTCTGGACAAAAATTAATTTTGAAAAATAACAAAGAGCAATAACTCAAAAATAATGCAGGGTAAAGTTATCATTCTTGTGCACTGCACTCCTCCTCAATGAGATCCATCCACCTATGAAGTTTCAAGTTGATACCTCAAATACTTTTTGAGATAAGCTCCGGACAAAATAGTATGAAAAAGAACAAAGGGCAATAACTCAAAAATTATATAGGGAAGAGTTATCATTCTTGCGCACAGCATTCCTCCTCAATAAGATCTATCCACCTATGACATTTCATGTTGACATCTCAAACACTTTTGAGTTATGCTCCACTCAGGTGAAAAATTAAGTATAAAAAATAACAAAGGGCAATAACTCAAAAATTATGAAAGGTAGAGTTATCATTCTTGTGCACTGCACACCTCCTGAGTGAGATCTATGCACCTATGAAGTTTCATGTTGATATCTGAAAGGCTTTTTGAGTTATGCTCTGGACAAAAATTAATTTTGAAAAATAACAAAGGGCAATAACTCAAAAATTATGCAGGGTAGAGTTATCATTCTTGCGCACTGCACTTCTCCTCAATGAGGTCTATCCACCTATGAAGTTTCATGTTGATACCTCAAATACTTTTTGAGATATGCTCCGGACAAAGATGTCGGACGGAAGGAAGGACGGAGACTATTTCTATATCCCCCATCATTCTTGTGCACTGCACACCTCCTGAGTTAGATCTATGCACCTATGAAGTTTCATGTTGATATCTCAAAGGCTTTTTGAGTTATGCTCTGGACAAAAATTAATTTTGAAAAATAACAAAGGGTAGAGTTATCATTCTTGTGCACTGCTCTTCTCCTAAATGAGGTCTATCCACCTATGAAGTTTCAAGTTGATACCTCAAATACTTTTTGAGATATGCTCCGGACAAAGATGTCGGACGGAAGGACGGACGGAGACTATTTCTATATCCCCCGCCGCCTTTTCGGCAGAGGATAAAAATAGCTGCAGACAATTCTGATTGAAATGAATGTGTAGACTGGTCACCTGCTCACTTCTATTGGAGCCATAATTAGACAGGGAACAAGAATAAATGGAAGCAGTGTATATAATACCCAATGGCACTTTTAAAACGGAAAATGTAAAATAAAAATTATTTAATTTTAACTGACTTACCCTTTCATAGGATTTGCCTTATTTCATATTACCCAAACTATAATCTGGTTATGGTTCCCATCTATGTTCTCTGATGGGTGGATTCAATTTAGTTATCATAAAATGTGTAGCTGCTGATTAGTTTAAATGATTATGAACTACACTCAGTTCCTATGATATCACGGGTTCTATGATATCATGGTATTTACATTTTCTTTGACTGCTAGTAAAAGCAACACACAATGACACTAATATTTTTCAAACTGGCATACTAAATTCATTTTCATCTGCCAATAAAAATAATTGTGTGAATAATGAATGTATTCGTGGCAAGAAAACTATTTTATAAAACCTTCATATTTGACCACTATTTTCCTTAATCGTTTTTACATAGTCAATTAAAATATGTTATAATCACATATTCTGACATATCGTCTGTTCATATAGTTTGAATTTTATAGCAAGTTAACTGTTGGAAGTTTTTCACAACTTAACTTGAAAGTTTTGACCCATCTATCCTTCCATACTTGACTTTTTTGGGATTACTGTGATTCCATAGTAACCGGTAGAGTCAACTTGGCCCTATACCAACTTGGCATGGGTCAACTCAGCACAGGTCAACTCAGCCCACATTTGAATAAAAAAAACATATTAAGTTGTTCTTATTTACATGCATGTTATCTATAATGAAAAATAAGAGATATCTGGTATGTTATTCTAGAACTGTACATTGTATTTTTAGAATGTATATTTAGAAGAAGTTTGTTATGTTTACAGTATTCTCATACATTTTGTTTGTAAAAAAATATTCAATAAAATATGACATAAAAAGTTGTTTATTTATTATATAAAATATTTTTAAATGTTTGTTCTTTATCCTATAGACATAAAACAGCATGTAATGCAATTATTAACATGCAATGTTTTTTTCAATGTCCCAAGGATTGATTGTAATAAGTTTTTATTAACCAAATCATTGAAAACTCTTTAATTACCAAAAATGCAATTATAATTTAAGAAAACATCTTTCCACGTTTGTAAATAAGTCCAGGTTCCAATAATAAAGAGTGAGTAAACAAACCAAAACATAAAATAAATTGAAAAAAAGGCCAAGTTGACCCGTGCCGAGTTGGAATAGGGCCGAGCTGACTCGGGGGCCGAGTACGTTTCAGGGCCTAGCTGACCCTGATTCATAGCAACCTCCTCCGGAATTAACCAAAATGGCCGACATTGGAAATAGTTTAAAAAATGTCACTTTAATTGGTTCTTTTAAAATAATTTTTTGACAAACAGTTCTGGAAAAGGTTCACTTATAAGATGGAAGAAAAATCTCATTCATTTATGATATTTATATTTAAATATTATCTGATTAGTTCTGGCTTCCAAAAACTTTATAAGCCACTATTGAACATTTTTGTTTTTCATCTGATGCGGCATTAAAGTTTTGGATTAGACCTGTTACGAAACCTAACCAGAATAACAGAAGTTGATTTAACCATATTTTTATCTTGCAAATACATTTGACCCAATCAATTCTTGTGCATTTTACGATAATACAATTATTTTAACATTGCTCTATACCAATTAAAGTATCTAAATATTAATACCGTCATTAAAATTGCCTATTTAACTGTCAAACATCAATTATGCCGACTATAGTCGGCCGTGACATTTAGGTGCCATGCGAGACCATCAGACCTCGTATGATGTCATTCGTGTGAACCGATTAGAATAGATTTGTGTACTATATTTAGAACATCTTTGTTGACATGATTTCAATATTTTTATTCAAGATAATGTTTTTATTTATTTTCATTATTTTTTAATACTTAAATATGATTTTATTGAATACAAAAGTCATTAATTCACCTTTTTCAATATCTTTAAAAAAATTAATTTATAAAAATATTGGAAGCACATGGGTTTGTAAAGGTCAATCTCGTAATCACGTGGTCAAACATTTTTGCAATATGGCGGCCAAGTGCTGAAATTTTTACCTGTCGGAAACTATTAGGTGGTTTATATTCGTAATAAGATTTTTATTTGTCAATCCTTGGCTTATCAACAGATTATATATAGTTTTATCAAGGTATGCTTCAATTTACTTCATGGCATGTTCGATGAATGAATACGAGCGTGTCAGATTCCTGGCACGATTATTGGTGGACTTTCACTATGGGGTTGTCTTCAGCGTTCACGTCATGTCATAGTATATAAACGAGTACGCTGAAGACCTTAAGCTATTATCAAATAAACGTTAAGTACCGTGATATCATAGAATACCATGCTATAATTTCTGTCAAAGAGCTCGCATTGAGGCTTTGCTGTATTCATATTACATGTTATCCTCATCATACTATTACTACCGTACATTTTCACAATAAACCATTCTACGAGAATAATTGTGTACAATTTAAATAATTTACAATTGATTCACAAACTACAAAAATTATGCTCGCCGACTCAATTATCATTATGTTTACCTCTTCCAACTTTTGAAGAACGTCCGCTGCTGTCATCGCTTCTTCGTCATCGCCACTATCATTTTCCAACCCTTCTAAAACATCAAGTGCAGAAGACATTGCAAAGTTTTCACAATTATTTTTGTAAACAATCTTCCGTGAATTTTCTAAATTACCCGCCAAAATTGTCCGTCCATAAGAATTATTACTTGTAAAAATAATTAAAAATTATAAAAGTCAAATACCACTAAATTATTTCCTTCCCTGAAAGGTAAAGTGCTTCATAATACAACGACTCGGGTTGAATGTACGAGGAAATTTTTACTGTTACCAGGCAGAAGAAGTGATATTGATGTAAATAGTAAAATAGGGGATAAAATTTTTGCTAAAATTTTTATGAAAATGATGCAGATTCGGTTTAAATGAAAATATTAACAAGTGTGACAAAGTGGAACTTATATTAAACTTTATTGTGTAAAAAATTGGCATATTCTGATTTTTTTTTGCTAATGGACAAATGTTACTTTATCTATATGGCTTTTAACCATGTAAGATCTAAAAATAGCTGTTATATTAAAATAGAAGCAACTGCTGTTCTAAAATATTACTGAGAGTATTGGAGAAACATATAAGTGTCCCATTCTATAACAACACATTTCTTTCAAGGTAATTCTTTGAAATGTTCAGCGGAATAAACACATAATGAAAGTTAGTGAATAAAATTATTGAATTATAAAGTACATTGAAGCAAAACGAAATACAGAATCAATACAACAGAAAGTATTTCCCTTTTTATTTAGTGTCACTTCATTTGACAGCTTGTTCGAGTTCCAAGTTTGTATCATGTATTTACTATACCCAGCATCTGTAGTGACAATGTATTACAATAAGACATATTGACCTAATGAACAACACATCCTTCCAAAACAAATTTGAGATAAATTATTCCTCACCATTTAGAATCTCGGAGCTTAATATATATTTTTGAAAAAAATCATATTTCAACGATTATAATAATACATTATAGACGTTGAAATATGATTTTTTTTTTCGTTTTATTATAGACATTGAGATATGATTTTTTTTTCAAAACGGCTTATATTAATTTTTTTTTAAATATATGATTAGTACATGTGATGGGATTGACAAATATATATTTTATTTGGATTTTAAAGACATTTTAAGCCCCATGACGCAAGTGTCTGTGGTGTTTTCTGTTTAAATATATCCGACGTAAAATAAATGAGCCGCGTCACGACAAAACCAACATAGTGGGTTTGCGACCAGCATGGATCCAGACAAGCCTGCGCATCCGCACAGTCTGATCAGGATCCATGCTGTTCGCTATCAGTTTCTCTACTTGTAATAGGGTTGGAAAGCAAACAGCATGGATCCAGATCAGACTGCGCGTATGCGCAGGCTGGTCTGGATCCATGCTGGTCGCAAACCCATTATGTTGGTTTTGTCATGACGCGGCTCAAATATTCTTGTATCTTGTATGTAATTGCATAAGTGCTCTAAATAACTATGTTTATAGGGTTTTTAATAAAACTGGTATATCAAAAAAATATTTGCAGCTTCATTCGTTCAAAACAATTTCTCTGAACTTGATCTGCCACATTGAATAAATATAGTGTCTTGCAACCTACGGGGGAAAAACTCGTGTCAGATTAATCTCATTTGTTAAATCTTGATTGCGTCCCTTGTTAATTACATAGTCGGCAATTCTATCCGTCTTAAAAATCATTTTTGTTGAAAATACAATATATTTGTACAATGTCATCAATGACTCTTTGTAAATTATTATTTATTTAAATTGATGCATTAGGAATTCAATTCTTTGGAACCCAGAGTGTACGTTTCTCACAATTTTCGCAAATTTACCGGCTGTAATACTGCAGTTTTAAGGTTGTAAATGTAACAGCCAAAAAAGCTATTTTTGGAAGTGTGTATCACCTCATTTGCATATTATTTGCTGCCTTGCTCTGGATCTGGGTCAATCTGTGGCGGGTACAGGATTACATTAATAGAAGGTTTTGGTCAGATTTTGAGGTAAAAACTTTGTTTATTGATGTTATTTAGATAAAAGTTAGTTCTTTTTGAAATTAGAATTGAGTTGACCTACGGTTGTCATTGAGTAAAGCGGGATGTTACCGGCGAATTTAGTGTGTAGCAAATTTATGCACGCGCAGTCTACCACTACCAGAGGAAGTTGGTCTTACGATAATTTTCCGGTGTAAGGTGATAGCGCTACTGTATGAGTAATTCATAATTTTTACTACTTTGACATGGACATATGATATAAGAATAGATGACATTTAAATATATATTGATACGATCTAATGCTGCATATGATTATCAATTCATAAACTGACATTTTACTTTTGTGGGTGGGGTAAAAATGGCAATAATTTTGACTTTCTTTTTTTGCATCATTTTCTTAATGTTACAATGTACACAATAAAGTTATTTTATAATGAATATTCAGTCAAATGAAACAAAAGTAGTTGTTTCTGGAAGTTTCTATATGTCTATTCATCATTTATATATTAGCTTACTGTAATTGAATGACAGTCCCTGTCTACTTATATTTTATCTGTAGTTCTACTACTTGTAGGGTAAAACAAATTTGTCAGTGATGCTACTGCACTGTTAAAAAACATGTGTATTTCTTGTGTGATCACAAAAGACGATATAAGTTAGGTGTGTCAGTCTGCAATATATACAATCACATCCCATGCAATCATAACATTGGAAGTAAAAGTTGCAAGAAATCACAATAGCCTTTACACATTGAATTTTATAGACTCGCAGAAAATGGAACTGTGATTTCATGTGTACACTGTGTACTGTTGAAAAAGTGCTTTAATTTAAAATTGGGCATCCTAATCAAAAAGTCTTTTGCTCCTTATTATTTTTGCAGAGGCTTGCAGGGTTCTCCTCCATTTTGTAAACAGTGCCATGTTTTAACTTTAGGTATAAATTATAGGATTTTGGGGAATCCGGCTACAATGTGTTAATACATTATTAACAAGAGCTGTCCGTAAGACAGCGCGCTCGACTTTTTTATTGCTTGCCAATAAAAAAAGTTTTTGCAGTAAAAGGCAATACAAGAATCTCTGTATTTTTAAAGTGAACAATGGCCATGAGCATTAAGATATTTAGTGAAGAATTATTTTATTATGACATAATTTATGGTAAAGTGAACAAGTGGATAGGAATGAATTTTTTAGATTTTTTAAGTTTTTTAGTGCTTGCCTATAATACAAAACATTGACAGTTAAGGGCCATAATTCAAATAAAATCTTTGACAGAATTACCTTCTCCTGGACATGTTTGGGAATCATGATTGTAAACAAGTATTCCAACTTTCAAATTAATATCTCAACAGTTCAGTCAAAAAGTGGACTGGTACTAAAAACTTAACCAAGATTCTAAGTCGATAAAAGGCCTTAATTTTTAAAACAAATCCTTGACAGAGTTACCTTCTCTTGCGTACAGATGGGGTAATGATGTGAAATAGCATTAAAAGTTTCAAAGCAATATCTCAAAGGGTTAAGGCAATAAGTGGATTTTACCCATATTCAATGTATTTTCTAAGTCAAAAAGGGGCATAATTCTGTCAAAAAACCTTGACAGAGTTATGTCCTCTTGTCTGTTGATGAAGGTCGTGATGGTAAACAAGTATGGTCAGTTTCAAAGCAATACCTCCAATGGTTTTGAAATAAAGTGAGGTGGTACAAAAAACTTAACCAAGCTCAATACACTTTCTAAGTCAAAAAAGGGCCATAATTCTGTCAAAAACCTTGACAGAGTTATGTACTCTTGTCTGTAGATGGAGGTTATGATGGTGAACAAGTATGGTAAGTTTCAAAGCCATACTTGTAATACTTCTGAAATAAAGTGGGGTGGTACGAAAAACTTAACCAAGGTGTGACGCCAACGCCGACGCCAACGCCGACGCCGGGGCGAGTAGGATAGCTCCCCTTTTCATAGAAAAGTCGAGCTAAAAATGAGTGCACACTTATCTGAGTTATCACAATTCCTAAAGATAAGCCATGCATTAGAGAATTGATTGGTAGCAGTGTGCTTGTTCATGTTTGTATGACTGAGTGGACAATAGGATGATTTTTTTTACTGAGTAGTTTTCATTGCCTATTTTAAAGGTAGATAGGTATAAATTAGACTTAAAAATAAGAGAAATATTTTTATCTTTCACTAGATTTACTATTCACAAATTCGAAAACCTAGCTAAATGCCGTTTTCCGGTACTTTCTGTACATAGCTCTGGGGAATTCACGTAATGGAGTGTAATAACGAACTCGCGGTGTTTTTGGACTTTTTTAATCAAAATGAAATAAAACAGTTATTCCTTTGTTAGAAAACAATTAAATATCATTTTTAGCTCGACTATTCGCAGAATAATCGAGCTAATGCAGTCACCCATTTGTCGGCGTCGGCGTCGGCGTCCCTGTGGTTAAGTTTTTGTATGTAAGCTGGTATCTCCATAACTACTGAAGGGAATGGATTGAAACTTCACACACTTGTTCTCTGTGATTATCTAGGATGATTGGCACAAGTCCCATAACTCTGATTTGCTTTTTTTCATAATTATGCCCCTTTTTCGACTTAGAAATTCTTGGTTAAGTTTTTGTATGTAAGCTGGTATCTCCATAACTACTGAAGGGAATGGATTGAAACTTCACACACTTGTTCTCTGTGTTTATCTAAGATGATTGGCACAAGTCCCATAACTCTGATTTGCTTTTTTTCATAATTATGCCCCTTTTTCGACTTAGAAATTCTTGGTTAAGTTTTTGTATGTAAGCTGGTATCTCCATAACCTACTGAAGGGAATGGATTGAAACTTCACACACTTGTTCTCTGTGATTATCTAAGATGATTGGCACAAGTCCCATAACTCTGATTTGCTTTTTTTCATAATTATGCCCCTTTTTCGACTTAGAAATTTCTTGGTTAAGTTTTTGTATGTAAGCTGGTATCTCCATAACTACTTGGGGATTGAAACTTCAGTTCTCTGTGATTATCTAATAGATGATTGGCAAAGTCCCATAACTCTGATTTGTTTTTTACATAATTATGCCCCTTTTTTGAACTTAGAAAATTCTTGGTTAAGTTTTTTGGGCTGTAAGCTGGTATCTCCATAACTACTGGTCTCTGGAACTAAGATGAATTGAATGGAT